CCATCAATGGACCTCCCTCCGACCCTTGTTTTCGTAGGAGGATCGGCCAAGCGTTACTGCTTTTTCACAACAGCCGTCGCTGAACTTGATTTTTGGCTGGCGCGCGCAGTACTTTAAACGTGTGGCAGAGTCTGCCTTGCGAAATATGACGAATCGCCCATTCTTGTAAGAGGTCGAGAGGATCACCATGCGGGGTCTAGACCATGGTAAAGGTGGCTGAAGGGGGTGGTGGCTGGGGTGCTGGTGATTTGGAGAGAGTCGGGTAACGGTGTGGGTAGTGAAAGTTGCTGTTGGAGCGCTCAGGGGGCATGCGTTGGGGGGCAGGTGAAAAGTTGGAGGTGGCCAGTGAGGAGGGCTGGAGGGCGGGGCGCTGCAGTTGCCGAGGACGCCACGTATCGCAGGGAGGACAGGACCTGCAGCGACGCTCTCACGAGACCTCAGGCAAGAGAGGGAGAGGTAGGTTGCAGAGAGAGAGAGAGAGCTACGCAAGGGAAGGAGGAGGAGCGGCCCGCCAGCCTTGGCCGCCGGCGGTGGCCTTCTGCCCTCCGGGCACACCGTGTATTAGGTCCGCTTAGGATTTGGGTCACGGAAAGACCTGCCGGCAGGGGCTAGTCCTGGTGGTGGCCGGTAGTTGACAAGGTGAATGATGGGGTGGGAGAGTTTCAGGGCAAGTCACTTACAAGATCCAGGTGTCGGGGCCTCGGACCTGCCGTGCATTAGGTCTCCTTAGGATTTGGGTTGCGTCAAGATCTACTGTCAGGGGCTTGTCCAGATGGTGAAAGGTGCTTGACAAGGTGAATGATAGGGCGGGAGAGTTTCAAAGCAGGTTGGTTACAAGATCAAGGCGTGGTGGCCTCGGATGCGCGGGGCTTTAGGCCGGCTTAGGATTTGGGTTGCGTTGAGATCTACTGTCAGGGGCTTGTCCAGATGGTGAAAGGTGCTTGACAAGGTGGATAATAGGTCGGGAGAGTTTCAAAGCAGGTTGGTTACAATATCAAGGCGTGGTGGCCTCGGATGCGCGGGGCTTTAGGCCGGCTTAGGATTTGGGTTGCGTTGAGATCTACTGTCAGGGGCTTGTCCAGATGGTGAAAGGTGCTTGACAAGGTGAATGATAGGGCGGGAGAGTTTCAAAGCAGGTTGGTTACAAGATCAAGGCGTGGTGGCCTCGGATGCGCGGGGCTTTAGGCCGGCTTAGGATTTGGGTTGTGTTGAGATCTACCGTCAGGGGCTTGTCCAGATGGTGAAAGGTGCTTGACAAGGTGAATGATAGGTCGGGAGAGTTTCAAAGCAGGTTGGTTACAATATCAAGGCGTGGTTGCCTCGGATGCTCGGGGCTTCAGGCCGGCTTAGGATTTGGGTTGCGTTGAGATCTACTGTCAGGGGCTTGTCCAGCTGGTGAAAGGTGCTTGACAAGGTGGATAATAGGTCGGGAGAGTTTCAAAGCAGGTTGGTTACAATATCAAGGCGTGGTGGCCTCGGATGCTCGGGGCTTCAGGCCGGCTTAGGATTTGGGTTGCGTTGAGATCTACTGTCAGGGGCTTGTCCAGCTGGTGAAAGGTGCTTAACAAGGTGGATAATAGGTCGGGAGAGTTTCAAAGCAGGTTGGTTACGTCAAGTGAGCGGCGACCTGTTTTGTAGTCAGGCCTAAAGGGTAGGAAGGTTCGAGGCTGCGGGGCCTTGTTCCTGTAAGTGAATGGCCCCGTAACTCTATGGCGCTATTTGGCAGCATGTTGAGTACCTTGTGCCCCCTGGATGGGGTGATCTGGGTCAAGTGAGCGGCGACCTGTTTTGTAGTCAGGCCTAAGGGTAGGAAGGTTCGAGGCTGCGGGGCCTTGTTCCTGTAAGTGAATGGCCCCGTAACTCTATGGCGCTATTTGGCAGCATGTTGAGTACCTTGTGCCCCCTGGATGGGGTGATCTGGGTCAAGTGAGCGGCGACCTGTTTTGTAGTCAGGCCTAAGGGTAGGAAGGTCCGAGGCTGCCGGGCCTCGTTCCTGTAAGTGAATGGCCCCATAACTCTATGGCACTATTTGGCAGCATGTTGAGTACCTTGTGCCCCCTGGATGGGGTGATCTGGGTCAAGTGAGCGGCGACCTGTTTTGTAGTCAGGCCTAAGGGTAGGAAGGTTCGAGGCTGCGGGGCCTTGTTCCTGTAAGTGAATGGCCCCGTAACTCTATGGCGCTATTTGGCAGCATGTTGAGTACCTTGTGCCCCCTGGATGGGGTGATCTGGGTCAAGTGAGCGGCGACCTGTTTTGTAGTCAGCCTAAGGGTAGGAAGGTACGAGGCTGCGGGGCCTCGTTCCTGTAAGTGAATGGCCCCGTAACTCTACGGCACTATTTGGCACCCTGTTGAGCACCTTGTGCCCCCTGGATGGGGTGATCTCCCTCAAGTGAGCAGCGACCTGTCCCCCTAGTCAGGCCTAAGGGTAGGAAGGTCCGAGGCTGCCGGGCCTCGTTCCTGTAAGTGAATGGCCCCGTAACTCTACGGCACTATTTCGCACCCTGTTGAGTACCTTGTGCCCCCTGGATGGGGTGATCTGGGTCAAGTGAGCGGCGACCTGTTTTGTAGTCAGGCCTAAGGGTAGGAAGGT